AAAAAAAAAAAAAAAAAAAAAAAAAAAAAAAAAAAAAAAAAGAGTTTTATATATGCTGCTCAAATTACTCTCAAACATTTTCTTTTCTTTTCTTTTTGAGACAGTTTCGCTCTTGTTGCCCAGGCTGGAATGCAATGGTGCGATCTCGGCTCACCGCAACCTCCGCGTCCCCGGTTCGAGCGATTCTCCTGCCTCAGTCTCTCAGTCTCCCGAGTAGCTGGGATTACAGGCATGCGCCACCACGCCAGCTAATTTTGTATTTTTAGTAGAGACGAGGTTTCCCCATGTTGATCAGTCTGGTCTCATACTCCTGACCTCAGGCAATCCACCCACCTCAGCCTCCCAAAGTGGTGGGATTACAGGCATGAGCCACTCCGCCCGCCTCTCAAACATTTTCGTAATAATTATATGTGTATGTGTGTGTGTATTTTTTAAAAAACAAATACTGACTAGGCACGGTGGCTCATGCCTGTAATCCCAGCACTTCGGGAGGCCTAGGCGGGCAGATGACGAGGTCAGGAGATTGAGACCATACTGGCTAACACCGTGAAATCCCGTCTCTACTGAAAATACAAAAAAGATTAGCCTGGCGTGGTGGCGGATGCCTGTAGTCCCAGCTACTTGGGAGGCTGAGGCAGGAGAATGGCATGAACCCAGGAGGTGGAGCTTGCAGTGAGCCGAGATCGTGCCACTGTGTTCCCGCCTGGGCAACAGAATGAGACTCGGTCTAAAAAAGAAAAAATTACTGATACAGCACATACTATGTTCTGGGCACTGCTCTATGTTCTTTACAAATATTTGTTTAACCTTCACAACAACCCTATGAGGTAGGCATTATTGTTATTATCCCCATTTTACAAATGGGGAAACTGAGGCCAAGAGAAGTTATGTCACTTGTCCAAGATCACACCACTAGTAAGCGGTGGAACTGGGAGGATTTGAGCCCAGGCATGTTGGCACCATAGTCTGTCTTCATGACTACCATATCCTACTGCTTATGAGAGTGAGGCCGGGGGCCTGGGACACCTGCTCTCTTCCCTTCCAGGAAAAGTAAAAGAGTATTCCAGGGCCAGGCATGATGACTCACGCCTGTAATCCCAGCACTTTGGGAGGCCGAGGCAGGTGAATCACCTGAGGTCAGGGGTTCGAGACCAGCCAACATGGTGAAACCCCATCTCTACTAAAAATACAAAAATTAACCAGGCATGTTGGTGGGCGCCTGTAATCCCAGCTACTTGGGAGGCTGAGGCAGGAGAATCATTTGAACCTGGGAGGCGGAGGTTGCAGTGAGCTGAGATTACACCACTGCACTCCAGCCTGGAGGACAGAGTAAGACTCTCTCTCAAAAACCAAAAAAAAAAAAAGAATAAAACTTAAAAATAAAAAGGATTCCCAGCAGTGGCTGCCATTGTGAGCACAGAGCATGCCTGGGGGTGAGGGCTTAATAAAGGCAATAAGCAAAGGAATGACTTGCCGGAGCCTTCTCCCTGATTTCCTTTATTCTTACTCAGACTCCTGGCTTCCTTTGTTCACCCAACTGAGCATGAGTTCTGGCTTGCCACCAGTAGCCTGTGCCCTTCTCTGAGCCTTTGTTCCTTCATCTGGAAAGTGGAGATAATAACAGGGCTTACATGAGGATGACATGTATGAGAATAAAATAAGTGGAAGCACAATTTCAGTCATTTACTCAAGAATGCCCAGAGCCCTGATTGTGTGCCCTTTACTCTCCTAATTCCATTGTTGGTCATCTTGGCAACTTCCAATCCATTGCCCTTATAAACACCACCAACCTCACCACTATGTGAACATCCTTGTGCACATTTTTTTTTTTTTTTTTTTTTTTTTTTTTTTGCATTCACTGAATTATTTCTAGGAGTAAATTTCTAATTGTGGAATTGCTGGGTCAAAAGGAGGGGAATTTTTATTTATTTATTTATTTATTTATTTACTTACTTACTTACTTATTGAGATGGAGTCTTGCTCTATCACCCAGGCTGGAGGGAGGGTAATCTTTTTCTTTTTTTAGATGGAGTTTCACTTTTTTTTTGCCCAGGCTGGAGTGCAATGACACGATCTCGGTTCACCGCAACCTCCACCTCCCAGGTTCAAGTGATTCTCCTGCCTCAGCCTCCACAGTAGCTGGGATTACAGGCGTGTCCCACCACGCCCGGCTAATTTTGTATTTTTAGTAGAGACGGGGTTTCTTCATCTTGGCCAGGCTGGTCTTGAACTCCCGACCTCAGATGATCCACCCGCCTCGGCCTCCCAATGTGCTGGGATTACAGGTGTGAGCCACTGCACCTGGCCAATTTTTTTTTTTTTTTTTTGGAAACAGAGTCTCTCTCTGTCACTGAGGCTGAAGTACGGTGGCATGATCTCGGCTCACTGTAACCTCCATCTCTCTGGGAATACAGGCATGTGCCACCACACCCAGCTAATTTTTATTTGTTTGTTTGTTTGTTTAGTAGAGACTAGGTTTCACCATGTTGGCCAGGCTGGTCTTGAACTCCTGATCTCAGGTGACTCACCCACCTCCACCTCCCAAAGTGCTGGGATTATAGGCGTGAGCCACAGTGCCTGGTCGATTTATTATCTTTTTGAGACAGAGTCTTGCTCTGTCTTCCAGGCTGGAGTGCAACGACTTGATCTTGGCTCACTGCAACCTCTGCCACCCGGGTTCAAGTGATTCTCCCACCTCAGCCTCCCAAGTAGCTGGGACTACAGGCACGTACCCCATGCCTGACTAATTTTTGTATTTTTAGTAGAGACGGGGTTTCACCATGTTGGCCAGTCTGGTTTGAACTCCTGACCTCAGGTGATCTGCCCGCCTCAGCCTCCCAAAATGCTGGGATTACAGGTGTGAGCCACCATGTCCAGCCTAAGTGTACATTTTAAAGTAACTAAAAGAGTATAATTACATTGTTTGTAACACAAAGGATAAATGCTTGA